GGACCAGGGATCCTCTTATATGAAAAGTTTCTTGGGATGCATCTACAAAGATTTTTGGTTTTTTGCTAGTAAAGTATAGTGTACACCGATGCCACTATATACATAAACAGGGAGGAGGAGAAGCTGCTCTCACTTCTATTAACTTTTCTGTATTTAAGCTAGAAATATCTGTAGTTATTTCTTGATTTTCTCTCCAAACCTTATAACATTAAAATTTGAAAGTTGCCATGGGATTACAGACTGCTAATGACTTTGCAGGTCCAATTTTCTAACCTAAGAAATTTTTTCAAGCAAAGTTTTATTGATTTCTATATGTACAGCATTTTATACATTTTATACAATATTGATTGAGTTCTATATGTACAGCATTTTATACAATTGTGCTTTTATACTATAACATTTCTAGAAGGTAAGCTCTCTTAGTTCAACATCTTTATTAATGACTTAGATGAAGGGTTAGAAGGCAGGATCATCAAGTTTGCAGACGACACCAAATTGGGAGGGATAGCCAATACTCCAGAGGACAGGAGCAGGATTCAAAACGATCTTGACAGATTAGAGAGATGGGCCAAAACTAACAAAATGAAGTTCAACAGTGACAAATGCAAGATACTCCACTTTGGCAGGAAAAAAGAAATGCAAAGATACAGAATGGGGGATGCCTGGCTCGAGAGCAGTACGTGTGAAAAAGATCTTGGAGTCCTCGTGGACAACAAGTTAAACATGAGCCAACAATGTGATGTGGCGGCAAAAAAAAGCCAATGGGATTTTGGCCTGCATCAATAGGAGCATAGTGTCTAGATCTAGGGAAGTAATGCTACCCCTCTATTCTGCTTTGGTTAGACCACACCTGGAATATTGTGTCCAATTCTGGGCACCACAATTCAAGAGAGAATTGGCAAGCTGGAATGTGTCCAGAGGAGGGCGACTAAAATGATCAAGGGTCTGGAGAACAAGCCCTATGAGGAGCGGCTTAAGGAGCTGGGCATGTTTAGCCTGAAGAAGAGAAGGCTGAGAGGAGATATGATAGCCATGTATAAATATGTGAGAGGAAGCCACAGGGAGGAGGGAGCAAGCTTGTTTTCTGCTTCCTTGGAGACTAGGACGCGGAACAATGGCTTCAAACTACAAGAGAGGAGATTCCATCTGAACATAAGGAAGAACTTCCTGACTGTGAGAGCCATTCAGCAGTGGAACTCTCTGCCCCGGAGTGTGGTGGAGGCTCCTTCTTTGGAAGCTTTTAAACAGAGGCTGGATGGCCATCTGATTTGAATGCAATATTCCTGCTTCTTGGCAGGGGGTTGGACTGGATGGCCCATGAGGTCTCTTCCAACTCTTTGATACTATGATTCTATGATTCTGTGACTGCAGAAAAACTATAGTTTTGTACCATCTTAAAGACCAGCAGTTGAGTAAAATGAAAACTTTATGGAATATCTTACTATTTGAAGTCTGTGTTTCTGAGCAACTTGATTTTGAGTGTGTTGACAGCTTTATCAGTATTGAATATGCAAGATAAACTCAGATGGAAAACACCTACAGAACTGCTGAAGGCATCAGACACAGCTTTTAGAAAAATGTCCTTGTTATACTTTATGGCCCAATCATCTACAGGTCTACTCCAATATAAATTTCATTGAGTTCAGACTTTCCCACCTAAATGGGAAACAACCTGAGTAAAAAAAATTCCCACAACATTTAGAATTTAACTCTTTGTACCAATGATCCTGAAGGAGGAAAAACAGTCTTATGGTTTGTCTTGTGAGAAAATCATGAGTGAATGAGTGGTGGTATTAAGAAACCTGCACCAGTATTTAACTTTGTTCATTTCACAAAACAGATTCTTCTTCTCTTTCCATTAATCTAGTCCAAGACAGTGTAGCTGTTAGTAAACCCCTTAGCCATGGACTGATGAAACCCATTTCAGAAGGATGCTTTAATAAACTCATATAGGAATCAAGCCCTTAACATAATGGATGAACATACATATATGCTTATTTGCTGGTGCTTTTCTCTATCTGCCAGAACAATAAATATTAGGGCTGTGCAAAATTTTGTTTGCCATATCTATTTCATAAGATTCATACATATGAAGCAATCTTTACAAACGTGAGGGGCACCCACACAAAAAACTTAAATTTCAAAAAACTGACCTATGACTTTTGGAAGAGTTATGTAAGTCTTGTAAATGGCTCCAGGTCTCCCTCATGGATCCTATTTCTCCACCAAAAGGGCTGTGTTTGGTTCCTCCGAGGACCCTGAGGAGGATGGCGAGGCCAGGAGACAAGGGAGAAGCTCCACTCTTGCCTCAAAGGGGACAGTGAGGGGGACCCAGAGCAGGTGGGAGGAAGGGATGCCTGTCTGGGTGGCTGGGCAAGAAAGAAGCCCTCTGGCACATGGCTAGCCCACAGAGAGACAGACAGAGATCTCACTCACATTTGAGGCTTAATGCGGGAAGCAAGCAAAATTCTGGGAAATGTAGGGGTCCTTCCCTTCCCAAGGACCCACAGGGGTCCTTCCCTTCCCAAACTACATTTCCCAGAATTCCGCTTACCACCTTGTGCCTCCTCCTCCCTGTGAGGTAGGCAAAGTCGAGAGACAACTCCAAACTGCATAGATTATATGCATATGTAAACATTAAAAACATTTGTCTCAACATTAAAATCTACTGCTTAAACTGTCTCAATCATCCACATTGAATCTAGGCTGCAACAAAGTTACAGAAGTGAAATTGGACTATTGCACAAAGGGACCAATGTGCATCAGGCACCACTGTGCACTAGGGAGTCTTGCTGATGTCCCAATACAGATCTTTACAGTCCAGTAAGGGTATATATACACTGGCAGTGTAGCAGGTTAAGTTGCTGAGCTGCTGAACTTGCTGACCAAAAGATTGGCAGTTTGAATCCGGGGAGCAGGGTGAGCTCCCGCTGTTAGCTCCAGCTTCTGCCAACCTAGCAGTTTGAAAGCATACAAATGTGAGTAGATCAATAGGTACTACTTCTGTGGGAAGGTAACGATGCTCCATGTTGTCATGCCAGCCACATGACCTTGGAGGCATCTACAGATAATGTCAGCTCTTCAGCTTAGAAATGGAGGTGAACACCACCCCCAAGAGTCAGACACGACTAGACTTAATGTCAGGGGAAACCTTTACCTTTATCTTTACACTGTAGAATGAATGCAATTCAACATCACTTTAGATGTCATAGCTCAATACTATGGAATCATGGAAGTTGTAGTTTTGCATAGGCTTTAATCTATCTATCTATCTATCTATCTATCTATCTATCTATCTATCTATCTATAAATATATAATATCTTTATCCTGCGGGCCTCCCACATGTGGGACTCATAAAACCTTCTCTGTCAACAATTGCTGATGCCTCACCAAATTATAACTTCCAGGATTCCATAACATTGAGACTTAGTAGGTAAAGTGGCACCAAATTGCATTCATTCTACAATGTAAAGGAAACATAAGAGGAATTATTTGGGTCTCTGCTACTTAGCAAAATGTATATAAAGTAGAATTAAAGGATGATATAGGTATCTGGTGGCAGTAGAATATAGTGGGAATCTGTAACAGATTAATTGTTAGACTGAAGGCATTTTACCCTGATTCCCAATTCATTTATATGTCTGATACATCCACAATGTGCCATCGTGTCAAGCTTCACAACAATGATGGTGAAAACTTTTCCTCTCTCTTATACTTTTTTCTATTTAAAAGAAAATCACTGATTTGTGGTTTTATAGCACATAGGTCATTGTCTCCTGGCAGTTTCTCAACGAATATGAGGGCACAGAGCATAAGCAGAGCTAGGCCTCTGACTTTTTGATATGGAAGAGCTTCAGTCTCGAATGCAATAGGCCATCTTTAATGAAAGACCCTTGTCTACCATGTCAACATGGCTTAGCAGTAAAAGGAACAACACACTGCTGTTTTTATTCCTGGGGCCATTAGAATCCATTCTTCGAGGACAACAACTTAACATGTTTTACATTCTCTGGTAAAAACAAGAAGCTGCTTCAAGGTTAAAACAATCTTGAGTGTTAAAGTAGGTGATAGAAATGCAATGGCAAAATGTAAGTTTTTATTTGGAGGTGGTGCACAGTTCAATGGTGATACTTATTTAGTTTCAGCAAATTTACTATTGATGCAAAAGAATATGTCATCCAATAGATATTATTATTTATTTTTGTGGTATTTGTATACCGTCCTCCCCTTAGGCACCAAATTTTGCAGTACTTCTTTTCATTACTTTTATCCATACAGGTGATTTTTGACATTATTTGTAGAACAAAGAACCAGGATTGTATCATGATAAGGGTTACAAAACTGTGGTTTTTTAAAGGTCTACTTATGGTGGGATTTTGTTTACTCACAAATTTAGACACTAATGGTGGCTTATATTTGATATCCCCTGTTTCACTATTATATATATAGTTGTGTAAGTAAATAATATTTTTACATTCATAAAAAAATCCCCATATATTCTCATAACAGTCGGATTATTCCTGCTTTCCTATCCTTTACCTTTTTATACTTATCTGCTACTTTTACAAATCCAATTTCCCCCTTCTCTCTTCTTCCCTTCCCTCTCCCTCCAGGAACAGTTGTACTTCTGCTCTTTGCATTATTTTATTTGTTTGATCATAAAGATTGTTGGATTTGGTTCCTCATATTTTTCTTTCCCTTTTACTCTGGCTATAAGCCCTTTCCATTTCGACTCCCAGTTCTCCTTAGGATGTCCCTGTTTCACAATGTCTAGTGAAATTCTGAGTCTGATGGAGAGATGATCACTCTATATTTGAATTTAAACTACTCTGTATAGAACACACTCCAATGAAATAATTGGTTTTGTTATGATAGTGACATTAGCAGTTGTATCTGAAAGTTACATTAGGGATGTGACTCATGTTGGAAAGTTTAGAATGTGTAAGAATTGAAACAACAATATCATGCAGTGACTCCCATCCCAATCTCCATTTACCAGAAAACAGTTACTGCAATTCATGGTACCCTCTCCCCTGTCAGTTGAGAAGCAGCTTGCTGATGGCCCCAGTCCCTCCCAAGAGTGATCTCCAGTGTGACAGGGAGAAGAAACGTAAGTGTCGCAATTCTTTTTCATGCCAAAAATTGTCTGTGTGAGGAGGGATGGCAAAAAGACTCCCATTTATTGTGCCCAGTCTGTTATGTCTTTAAACTAGGGGCTTTGTAGGGATTATGAATATGAAACAATTGTGAGAGCATAATTCCAGGCTACCAGTTCTCTCCAACAAAATTCCAGTCTGTAATTTTTGAGGTTGTGGCAGATGTAAAAATTCTGTGACTCTATCTACTATCACTCCTTCCCTGAGCCATTTAGATGTTTTCTGGATGAGCACCCTTTCCACAGCCAGCCAGTACCTGGGAAGGATGGAGGACCTCCTCCTCCTCCCGGCACTCCTCGAGAGAAAGGCCGAGCGCGGGGCCACAGGCAGCCCTTCACGGTCCGGGATGCCCTACAAGCTGAAGAAGGAGAAGGTGAGGAGGGGCCCCTCTCCCCAGCAGGGAAGGTCTTGGCGCAAATGGGAGGGGAAGCAAAGCTGGCCGGGCCTCGCAGGGAGAGAGCCAGGAAGGCAGGCCTCTTCTCTGGGCCTTGGATGGGCCACTGCAGCAGAAGCAATTGCCTTTCCCATGGCAAGAAACAGGGTTTGCAGCCATGCCAGCCCAGTCCCTCCCCAGCACACAAACATATGTCTATTTGCCCTACATAGGCCTGTTTGATCAAGAAAAAATTTGTTTCTAAAATGTTTCGTAAATATTTACGAAATTTCGTAAATAACAAAACATTTTTTTGGAAAGTTTTGTAAATATTTTAAATATCGAAACAAAAAAACACCCCAATTAAGAATCGAATTTAGAAACAAATTTTTTCTTGATCAAACAGGCCTAGTATCTCAGGGACCCCACAGAGGTAGGTGGAGCATGTGGGAGTGTGGGACAAGCTATAACTATGCTTTTTAAAATTAGTCTCATATTTACAAATGCTACCTCTGTATTATATTTTCAAGATGAATAAAAATGTTGATAAAGCTAGAGCTATTACAATGGATAAAAGGAAGGATAAAAATAACATATGAACTAAGGAAATATTGCTTTGAATATATTTGTTGAGCAGTGGGAGTGTGGGACAAGCTATAACTATGCTTTTTAAAATTAGTCTCATATTTACAAATGCTACCTCTGTATCATATTTTCAAGATGAATAAAAATGTTGATAAAGCTAGAGCTATTACAATGGATAAAAGGAAGGATAAAAATAACATATGAACTAAGGAAATATTGCTTTGAATATATTTGTTGAGCAGTGGTCCTATACTTATCTAGAAGTTATTCTTTTTCTTTTGGTATGATGTAGCTTTTCTGGAAGTTCAGAATTTGCTGATACTTAAAATTCTGGTCATGACCCTTTGGACAGACAGTCTGTGGCACTCATCATTGCAGTGAATTTAATGCAAACACTGTTGCAGGATAGATCGTGTTATTGCTTCTGACTCCTGCTTTATTTAATATATAATGACATTTTGTGTCACTGTGGAGATTAACTTTGGAGAAAGGAAGCGCTAACATTCAAGGAAGTGCATTAACTGAATTAGGAAAACCACTCAAATGTATTTCTGAACCGTGCCATGATAGAAACAGGAAAATAAGATAACAAATGGAAAAATAATGAAAAAGCTGAAGAGTTTACAGGCAAGTGAGTTAAATAGACATAGTCAATGCACCAAGCAAATATTATGTCAACCACGGCACAGAAAAGCTGTTAGTTCCACTAATTCTGTCTGGGCTTATCATGAACAAATGCTTGCAGGGCACAACAAAAATTGGCACAATAATGTGACACATGTAGCAGTACTAAAGTTCTAGGCCAGCTATGAGTGATGTTTCAACATGTTAACAATCCTAAAACTGTACCACTGTTGCTTAGATGAGACATGTTCTATATTTAGCCTACAGTTTGTACCAGGTAACACTTGGCCTTGTACAACTGATTGCTTGCATATATGTTTTAAAGAGCTGAATTACACATACTATATTCTTGTTGTTTTCTTTTAAGTACAAGTTGTGTATTTCTCAATAGCCTGCAATATGATGAAACAATGGCTAAATCCAAATAATTGTATGAGTGGATTCTTTCCCTTTGCTCTCTGTTGCATGCTGTGTTGTGATGTCTCTATCCTCCCCATGGTTATACACAGATACTTCTGCTGATATCAGCACAACATGTCCTTGATGGCTAGGACCTTTCCTGGAGTTCTGTGGTCATCCTGCAACAATGACATGGGCTCTGTTCCCTTTTTGCAATCATGCTGTCCACAATGTGCCCAAACCCAGTTAACCCTGTGCTAAGGACTAGAAGTCCCTATACATTCATGTCAACAAGTTTTGGAATAGCCATTGATGAAAGTTAAGGAAGGAAATAAAAAAAAACCCTCAAACTCCTGTTGAATATTAAGGGGAAAAAAGTAATGACCAAAGATTATTTACAAAATTTTAATGTGGATAATGAAGAAAATAATAAATAAATAAATAAAATGTTTCTATCCTTTAGCTTAGTAATTCATCAAAATGAAAACTGGCAGTTAAGAAATCAGAAGACAATTAAGCTTGGGGTGTTTTTCCATCCACATTCTACCACTATAGGATGGAAACAAATGTGTATGCAGTAGGCCTGTGTGATCAATGAAAAAAAAGTTTCAATATTCATTACAAAATTAGGGACGGCCGAGAATAATTTGTAGTTTTTCTAAAATATTGTTAGGGGTCTGTATCGTAACTATAATGATATAACTAATTTTTGCCCAAGTGAGGAAGTGTCCAGGGCTCCTTTCTTCCTCATTTTTAGAGCTATCAGGATGAAATTTGCTACACTGGTAGAACACATTTACCACTGTTACCCCCAAGTTTCAGAACATTTCACTCATCCACTGATTTTTTGGAATTTACAAAAGTTTTTATGAACATCATTTTTAAAAAAGTACAAGAGCTATCTCCTTGAATTTTTATTTTCAATGATACAACATAGCCAGAACATCATTCTCCCCAAGTGTCAAAAAATTTGCACATCCACTGATTTTTAGGGAATTTTAACCAACATAAACTTAACAGTATTATTTTACTGAAAGACCACAGAGGCCATCCAATCCAACTCCCTTCTTTGAAACAACACCAAAAAATAGGAAACCTACTAGGTAAACTTTGCCTACCTCACATGGGTTTTTTGTGTCAGAAGTGACAAGAAACTGCAAGTCACTTCTGGTGTGAGAGAATTAGTTGTCTGCAAGGACGTTGCCCAGGGATGTCCGGATGTTTGATGTTTTACCATCCTTGTGGAAGGCTTTTTTCATGTCCCCACATGGTGAGCTGCTGCTGACAGAGGGAGCTCAACCAACTCTCTCTGATTTTAATCCACTGATCTGTTGGTCAGCAGCTCTCCCGGCACAAGGGTTTAAGCTGTTGCGGAACATACGTTACCCGAGATCATTTAGAGCACAATCAGAAAGGAAGGAAACGGAGACAGCAGTTGATTTCAGGCGTTTACTATCAAGCTCGATAGGGCGTTCAGAAAGCAATATCTGACACACGTTGGAAGTCAGACTTGCTTCAATATTTATAGCAGAAAACCACTGGTTCATACATGCGCAGAAATGTCTTGACATTTACACAGTACAATCATGTATAGTTGCCAAGAACAAACATTTGGCAAGGTCATGATGACAAACATTTGCCCACTTTATATAATTATTAACTTTCTACCCCTTATTTCCAGATGACATGTTCAATTGGTACTTAACTTCCTTGATCTCTTAATGATTTATAGTTTTATATATTTATAACATAAGACTTGATTTAAGGCCATCTCCTTTTAGTTAAATTCAGCCTCAATTATTTAGTTGTTAATATGAAAACCAAGAGAATTTGTTTAAAATAAAAATATCTAAAATTGCCTGCTATTTACATTAAATAGACAGGAGATGGCGCTCTCTCACTATATGACCTTAGATGTTCTAGTCTCAAATCAATAATATCGATTTACCTTACTCATGAGGCCTCTGTGGCCTTCTATGTTTAGCCTTCAGCTTCTTCAAATATTTGTTTATGGAACAAGCCATCCTGACCTCTTATTGATTCATACCATCTGTTGAATTTCCCTTACTCTAAAAATCTCCTTTCAAGCGTCAGCATTAAGGTAAGACTTTTACTGTTCATTTTAAATTCATTTAAATTATAATTATTTTATTTTTCTCCTAATGGCTGCCACAAAGCCATTGTGCCACTGGGGGCTCCACCTCACAGGGTTGATGCAACTCCCAACAATCCCATTTTAACTCAGAATCCCTTTAGAGAACAAACACGGGTTTTCCCCCACTAAACATTCAGGGAGGAGGAGGTGGCACAAGGCAGTAAGCAGAGTTCTGGGAAATGAAGTTTGTGAAGGTGAGGGCTTCTGTGGCAGAGAATTCAAAAGGCCTTGCCTTAAACTACATTTCCCAGAATTCTGCTTGCTTCTCATATTAAAGCCTCAATGTGATGGTCTCTGCCTGTGTCTCCCTACTAGGTAAACTTTGGTGTTACTGCCTGTCAACTTTGCCTACCTCATAGGGTTGATTCAACTCCTAATAATAATAATAATAATAATAATAACAACAATAACCCCCCGATGGGTGCCACCTTGTGGTGATGGTGGGGGGGGGGCTTAACTGCTCCAAGGATGCTGAGAGCTGTGCTGGTGGTAGTGAAACTACCAGCAGGTCCAACCAAGCCAGAGAGGTCTCAGCTGAGGAGTGGAACCAAGAGCACCTAACCCATTAGCACTATGGAGAAGCAAACCAAAACAAAGTCTATTCTGGCTCAGTCGATGCCCAGGATTAAAAGGACCATGGTGGATACTGCTGATTCTGGACATCCATTGACAAGTGGGTTACAGAATCAAAATACAAATGAACCATCACAGAAGCGGCAGAAATATACAATGCCAGAAAACCACACAGTTATGAAAGGCTATTACAAATCAGAAACTCAAAAGCCTGGCTACCAAAAAAGGATGTATCAGTTGTGGAAACAAGAGTACCCTGATTCACAGATAACTGAAGCCTGACTGGCTGATCAACAAAGATTCATAATCAGAAACAAAGTGTTCAGTGAAGTTGAACTTGAAGAAATTCAGATAAGCTGCAAAGCAAACAACCATCAGGTCACAGCACAGACAGTAGCAAAGACTCCAGCAACACTAGGAACTCTAGAACAGACTGAACCAGAAGAAAATGTGGAGCTTTTGCAAGAATTTGAAGAACCGGCATCTGAAGCACTTGTTGAACTACCAGGAACATTGACAGCAAGACAGCAAGAGCTCAAGGAAAAAATCATTGCCCATGCTGTA